TAGGAGAAAGGATCCACTAGACCCATTTGTATCCCGTCTCGAAGTTACCCAAGCAGGTAACCACAATGGATTCTCACTTTAGGTTGGAAGTATCACCCGAGAGCGAAGGAGAAGGGAAGGCGGATAAGAAGGAGGAAGGTAGTCTGCACCTCCTTCTCCGCTACGATTGGAAGTTCCCAATAGGCTCCGTGCGAGGAGACCTCCCCCTCCGAACGTTCTCCACTCCCCCTCCCTCCCCCTCTCTCTCTCTCCTCCTCCTCACCTCAAATCCAGGAGCATCTCTCAACACCGGCACCTTCAGGACTGCGCAGTCTGCCATGGCAGCCTTCCCCGTCTTCCGCATCACGTGCATGGCCTTCAGCTTGCTGTCCTCCACCAGGTCGGCTGGGGTCACGGGGCCCCGAGCAACGCCCTCCTCCTCCGCCTTGCGCACGCGGATGTTGAGGACTCGAGAGATCTCCATCATCTCCCGCAGCTTCTGCGGGTTCCAACTCGCAAGGACAAGCTCGCACTTGGCATGGGAGGACTGGACGCTGCGGGGCTCGAGCAGGATAAGGAGGATAACGAGGCGGAGGACCAGAGAGAAGTTTGATGAAACCGCCCTAGGGCACCTCCAGCCCCTAGAGAAGGGTCTACTTCCATCTCCTCCTCCTCCTCCTCCTCGTCTGTTGGCACTTTCACCTCCCCCATGCGAGCTCAGGCCCCTGAGCTCGTCGCCTGGGTCGGCAGAAAGAGGAGCGTCGACGAAGTTCATCTGGTGGTAGCTCGCATCCTAGCCCGATCAGTTGACGTCACGCCCGTCTCATCCCTGCGAGATGAGGTCAGTCGAAGTGACAAGACGGGAAGAGCACGAGGAACTTGGACAAGAAGGATAGGAGGGACGACACTGTACTGTCTCCTACCCCTCCCGGCCCCAACACCTTTCTTCCTTCCTCAGATCAAAGTTTGATCGGCTGCTGCGTTCAGGCTCCATCTACCCTCACATGAAACACCACAGGCTATGAAATCCTCCTTGAGCACCTACATAACTCCCCCTCCCTCTCCCTCCGCCTTTCCTCCATCCATCCTCGCAAATGCTGATCGACCGATGAAGACTACAGCTCACCGCTATGATCGCATTCATCCTGCTTCTCCTCCTCTTCCTCTTCTCAATCTTCCCTGTCCCTTCAGCCCCATGTTTCCTCCTCCTCCTCTCCTCAGCATCCTCATCCTCAGTCACCGCCCCGTCCCCCATTGTGTGCGCGGGATCCCAACCGTTACAAAATTGTCGAATCATCTCCCTCATATCCTTCCGGGCCTCGGGGAAACTCAGGGTCCGGGTCCCGTTTCACTGACAAATCCTAAATTATCAAGCTCGCCTCAGTAATTTTTTACTTAACTTTGAGTAAAGACTATCTGGTTGCGTCCGTAATGCACATAACCTGATCCTCCTCCTCCTGCTCCTCCTGCCACCCCACCCCCACCCCCACCCCACCCCTGCCTCTCCTCCTGCCCACCCCCACCCCCCACCCCACCCCTGCCTCTCCTCCTCCCCTCCTCCAACCCCCTGCCTCTCCTCCTTGTCCTTTTCCTCTCTGCACATACTTGCGGTCTCACCATGAAGCTTCCAAGATCCTTGGCTCGGCGTCATTCCCTTCCTTGCCTGATTCCTCTAGCAGCTTCTCGCTCAAAGAACTCTCGCTGCCTCTCACTCCTCCTCTTACTCCATCTCCTGAGCCTCACCATCTCACCCTCCATCAGTCTGTCCCCTCCAGCCAAGCTACATCGCCATGCGCATCATCAACTCAAACCTCAACAGCTCTGCCTCCTCCCCCGAGTCACGAGCTCCTTTCTCGCCTCTTCGACTCGACGTTGCAGGGGAGGATACGACGAGCCCATGAGTGGAGGAACATACGAGGAGGAGGGGGTGGAGGACGAGGACGAGGACGAGGACGAGGACGAGGTTTCAGAGGTGAAAGATACGGAGAATTTTGGAAGCAAAGTAAAGAGATCGACAGGTTGCTGAAGACATCATCCCTACCAACAGATCCCTGAGAGAATATCTAAGTTCGACCTCAGAGGAGTCAGGTACCCTACTCACTTCCTCGTCCCCTCGTAATGTCCAATCCTCTCCTACTTTCCCCTCCTTTCCTTCCTCACTCCATCCCTCCAATTCTCCTTGATCCTTGCTGCTACTCCTCCCTCTCCTCCTCTCTTCCTCAACTTCCCTCACCCTTCTCCTCCTCCTCCTGAACCACCACCACCTCATCATCATCATCATCATCCTCATCCTCATCCTCCTCCACCACCACCTCATCCTCATCATCATCTTCGTCCTCATCCTCCTCCTCCTCCTCCTCCTCCTTACTCCCTCCCTCCCTCTCTTAATCCTTGCTTGCAGCTTCAGAAGTCAACGAAGCAGCGCTCCTCGACATGATCGATATCGTAACTTTTGCCTCGTCTCCTCTTGTCTCTGAGAACCTTCAGGGCGGCAACAAATCTTCAAGGCTCTTCGATGACTCCCGTGGAGTGCTCTACGTACTTGCAAACGCTCCTGCAACCTGCTGCTGACTGGACTCTTTCTCTCCCCCTCCTCCTCCTCCTCCTCCTGCTACTCCCTGCCCTCCCGCTTCTTCCTCCTCCTTCCGCAGCTCGTCAACGAGAGCTTGAAGTTGGAGAGCCCGATGATCCGCAGGTATCCACTTCTCCTGCTCCTCCTCATGCTGATTTCTTTTCCTCTCCCTTACCCTCCCTCCTGACTCATACTTCGTCTCTCACTGCATCTCCTAGGCAATTTTCCTCGCTCTGGGGCAAGCTGCCCGACCTGCCGATGCCGCTACATGGCGCAGCTGTAAGAGGAGGAGCTGGGGGGGAGGGGAGGGGGAGGAGGTCACGAGCATGAAAGAAGGAGGGAGAGGGAAGGGGGACACGAGAGAGGAGCAGGAGGAGCAGGAGGAGTGACTGATGGGCGTGGAACAGGCTTGGCATCACCAAGGGCTGACCTACATCATCGGTTGCTTGCGTTTGCTGCTGATGCCCTGCTGATGCAGAAACGAGCAGGAGGAGGAGACGGTCACTTGGTGTACGATGGAGTTTGATGCTCAACCGGCAGGATGGTCTTGACTTGTCCTGTTGGTCGATGTCAGACATTGAGAGAACATGGCAGAGAAATGGACCATCTTCAACCAGATGAACGTCCCGAGGTACTTTGAGGCCACTGCTTGTTGTCTTCTAATCATCATCGTCATCGTCATCATCACCATCATGGGGGGTCGTCGTCGTCATCATCATCATCATCATCATCATCATCATCATCATCATCGTCATCGTCATCATCATCATCATCATCATCATCATCATCGTCATCATCATCATCGTCATCATCATCACCACCACCATCACCATCATCATTACCTCACTTCTACCTCAGGATGCATCATGCTGGAGCACAGCTCGGCGATGAGTTCTGGGTTACAGGAGGGTTTGACGGTGAGACTGTAGAAGAGAAGCAAGAGGAGGAAGCCGGTCAAGGAATAGTCAGGGAGAACAGGAGTTGGGGGGAGGAGGAGGAGGACGAGGAGGACGAGGACGAGGAGAGGAGCAGCTAATGGAGGAGGCAGGAAGCGTCTTTTTGCGTTCGGTGGAGTCGTGGAAGGTCAACAGGCTAAGAGCAGATCGACACTCAAGCAGCTGGATGATCCGACCGGAGCTGCCGGAGGATAGATGCTACCATGCTGCTGTCACCCTGGATGGATGCATCTACGGTGCTCCTCCTCCATCACCTCCTCCTCCTCATCCTCCTCATCCTCCTCCTCATCATCATCATCACCATCATCATCATCATCATCATCATCATCATCATCATCATCATCATCATCATTATTCTCCTCCTCCTCCTCCTGATCATGTTTACTCTCCTTCCTGTATGTGTCCCTCGTCCCCTGTTTCTGCTTCTCCCTCTCCTCCCTCCTTTCTTGCTCCTCTTCCCTCGTTCGTTGGCCTGACTCTGAGCAGTGCTGGGAGGGGAGAGCACCAAAGGAGGAGACGACTGCTTCTTCACGCGGTCGGTTGTGCGCCTGGACCCGCGATCTGGTCAAGGATGGACTTCTTGCCCGCCGATGAGGACAGCAAGGTGAGCTGATGGGAGGGAGGAGGACGAGGACAAGAACGAGG